TTTCATGTTTCAGCATTCCTCAATACATGCTTAATCAATAGATTGAGTTTATGCACTGTGTTGCTTTAGTTTTGCAATTAGCTATCAGTGATAACAGTCATCACTCTTCTCATATGACCTCTTTTCTTCCCTTTCTCTTTAGAAGCTGAGGCTAAGCCAGTTCCTGCTAAGAAAGGTGAATTGCTTACAATCCATGGTTATTATTTATTAAAGTGAATTATTATTAACACTTTCATGCTTTTTTTTTATCAGAGCCAGAGGTTACAAAGGAAAAACTGAAACCAGCTCTTGAAAAGAAAGGTATATGTTCGATTTAAACTCTTTAAATAGTCACAAGATAGGCAATCTATACTTTTTTATTCATATTCTATTTCTGTTATAGATCATACACACTCTATACTGTTTAAGTAGTTCTTTAAAAAAAGTTGAAAATGTTATTTTCCCCTGTTTTACAGCTCCTAAAGCAGAGGTCGAAGCAAAGAAGGAAAAGATTAAATCCCTTCTAAAGACAAAAGGTAGACTGCCATTGTCATCTGCATGTAGATGCTTTTTATTATGTAGTACCATTAGAAAACTATCACAAAATAATGATAATGGTGTAGATAAACACTGATTATCTTTACATATCATACCTTTTTGTTTTATTACTCAGAGCCAAAAGTACCAGAGGTAAAATCAAAACCAGCTGTAAAAAAAGGTAATTTATAAAACTCTTTGGTGTTATGGGCAACAAGTAGAATCATTGTTTTGTTCTTTAAAGACTGAGCAAAGACTTATCTAGGAATCATCTATAGAAGAAATCTACCAGTGGATTTGATTTAATGTGCAAAAACAGATCGTTGGCTCTATCGCAGCCACATGGACCTGCACAAAGTCAGAAGCAAACCAAAGAAAAGTAATTTCTACTAAGGAAAAGGAATGTTTTGTATAATTAAAATTACATAATAGGCCTATTTCATATCTGAAAAGATGACAAAACAAAGTAAAAATGTGTTCTGGCTGTTTGTAGAATGGACTAAATCAGTAATTTAAAAAAATAATTGAAGCTTTCACACTGCAGAAAGTGGTTTGAGCTGCTATAAGTATTGTTTAAAAGTAAGCTAATTGTGGCTTCTGCAGTAAAATTCTTCAGGTTGATTGCTAAAATTTGACCAAAGTTGTTCTTTTACAGAACTGGAAACACCTAAAGAAAAGGCCAGGCCTGCTGCAGTAAAGAAAGGTACAGTGCAAAGTTTTACACTTTATTTATGACACTGTGGGTACAGGGCTTTACGGCTACGTATAATGTCAGGATACTGTCACAAATTTGAGATTTTCTGATGTCTTAAATACACTAAAATACTTCCAACTGTATGATTTATCGATTGCATTTTTGTCCCTGATGGCACAGCCATGTTGAGGGAAAAGACCAAACCAGCCCACGTGAAGAAAGGTACATGTGGTGCTTCAGTGCAGGCAGCACTTCATACTTCATGTAACCATCAGTGGTAATCTGATTACAACATGAAGGCCCCTCTAAATGTAGATAAGTAACTTAGAGGGGAAACAGCTAGTTTGCTTATAAAAATTAAGTAACTGTTAAACACGCTGCTGCTGATAGTTGAGAAGATTTTCTTGCTGGGTGTGAAATAGTCAACCAGACATCTAAGTAAAGAGCTTCAAATAAAAATCCTAAATTAGCAAAGATTATAGGCAACTGAATGGCCAGCAAGGAAATGATCTCAAAGTTAGTTCATCTGCCATCAATAAAATATTTATAGGTTGATGTAAAAAAAAAATGCTTCACAGTAATTTTTACACAAAGCATGCATGCAGGTAATTAACACAAATCTGAGAATGTACTGCCACTTTCTAATAAGGCCTCATACATAAAGGATTTATAGGTTGTAACTACTAACTTAATCATGAATAAATATTTTCTAAATAATTTCTTTAAAAATGATTTATGAGCTATGCTTGGAGAACACAGAGTCTGAGAAATCTGGCTGTTGATGTATTTCGTTATAATTCTGTTATGACAGTTGACAAAACGTTATCAAAATCTGTAGTTAAACTATAAAAACCAAGCAGATTTTCATCTATATCACACGTGGCTCTTTTTTTTATTAATTGCGAATTTACAAAGCCACGTTTTCACAACCTAGGGCTCCCAAGTTGTTGTTTTTTTTTGTTTTTGTTTTTTAAATATATGCAGTCACCAGACACTTTATTAGATACACTTTGCTAGTACCATATTAAGCTCCACTTAAGTGCAGCCCCAGACTCAGTAAGGTGCTGGAAACATTCCTCAAAGATTTTGGTTGACGTGTTAGCATAACAGTTGCTGCAGTTTTGTCAGCTGTACATCAATGATTTAAATCTCCCATTCCACTACATCCTGAAAGTTGTTTATTGGATTGAGATCTGGTGGCGGCCGTTTGAGTACAGTGAACTCATTGTCAAGATCTGAGCTTTGTAACATGGCAAGTTGACCTGCTGGAAGTAGCCATAAGAAGATGGGCAGACGGTGGTCATAAAGAGATGGACATGGTCAGTAACAATACTTAGGTAGGCTGTGCCATTTAGGCAATGTCCAGTTGGTACTAAAGTGAAAATATCTCCAATACGATTACACAAGCAGCAGCCCATTCTTCTCCATTCTGGTCCTGGTTTGAACTCCAGAAGGTTATCTGCCTACATGTCTAAATTGCTGCCTTGTGATTGGATGATTAGATATTTGCTTTAATGAGCAGCTGGACGGATGTACCTAATGAAGTGAGAGTGTATATACCAAGCAGTAGCACATTATAAATCTTAAAGGTTACTTTATTAGAAAGTGGTTCTTCATTTAACATTTTTCTCTGAGTTTACTGGGCATCACTTTTCATTCTGCGCATTTGCTTTTCATAAGCGTTTTTAAGTCATTTAGTTGCATTACATCTGCAAAAAAAGAGCCCTCTACCCTTTATTGAAATTTTCAAATCACTTATTTTAAAGCTTCACCTTTTTCTTCCCTCCAGTAATTTTTATGCATAACTGTTGTGTATTTCATGCCTGTTTCTGTTTGCTTCACATTTGTGAAACAGAGCCTCGTGTTTTAAAAGAAAAGATAAAGCCCATTGCAACAAAGAAAGGTATGCAGTCAGCTTGGAGAAACTAACATAAATGTAGAACACGCAGTCACTATTACTGAGTTGAAACTGCTGTTTGATTAATTAGTGAACAGGGTGAAAATAATCCGCGACTATCTTAATATTCAGATGTTTCTCAAGCGAAATATTTTTACAAAAGATTCACAAACATTTTCCTTTTAAAAAAGAAACATCTTGTGTTTTCTTTTTTGAGAGAAAACACATTTAAATTATTCATGTAATAATAAATTGTTATGTCAAATACATTCAAATTAAACACTTGAGAAAAACTGTTTGACTTTTTTATGTCTTGCTGCCTTTTACAGAGGACAGGGTTCTCAAAGAGATACAAGAGCCTGCAAAGAAAGGTTTGTTTGTGACGACCTTCATTTCTGAGTATTCAAAAAAAAAAACTACATTATAGCTTTTATTGACTGTATGCAAAACGTTTGCAGGAAAAACTGCTGAGAAGAAAGCTGATAAGGAGGAGAAAGTTAAAGGTATCACGTTGATCCTGTAATTTAGAGTCATATAACACTTTATTGATTTGTAGTTAACATTATGTTCATATTTTAACAGTGGAGCCGTCTCTATCGGACAGCTTTCTCATGGAAGGTACGTGCAGATTTTTAGAACAAAATGTTGCAGAGCGCGCAAATTTCAGGCACTTTTCTCTCCAAATGCTAAAGGAAAGGGAAGGAACATACTGTTCTTCACTGTTTTACCTCTTTACAGATGAGCTGCCCTACTTCCAGTGTTTCTTTGTGGATGAGGACGAGGCCCAGTTTCCGTTTTACGCCTTCTCGCCGCTGCAGATTTGACACGTCAGTCTGTGGTCTGACATTTACAATCTAGTCAAATTACCGATAAGGACGAGGTCACCTCACACCCTGTACTGTTGAAACACGGGTGATGCTGTTCGCCTTCAGCAGAAATCTCTGCACAGCAGAAGACGACAGGTTATGAGATGGACCGTTATTTTTCTCTTTCCAGAATTGGTTGAGCTCTCATACCAAATACATGCAGTCAGTGTCATTCCTTTTCTTTTCTTTTTTTAATATTTTTTTAAGTAATAACTTCTTTTGCATATTTTAAATATAGCAATTTACTATTTCACTTCTATGGATTCAAACCCTTTAATATATTTACAGCTTACTTTATTTTCTCATAAAAGGTCCAGAAAATGGTGCAGTATTTTTAAAGTAGCTACAAAGTGTAGAGTAGTTTACACTGTGAGGTTAACAGGGTACAAAACTGCCACAGTTGCTACTCCAAGACAGACCTTCTTAGCCCACATTTACTTGAACAGTGGTTTGCGTTGTAATTATACATCTCTGTGGCGTCTTTCTTGATCATGTTTCTCATCCCACCCTTTATAGCACTTGTTCATGATTCATTCTCAGTTTCCTATTGTTCTTCCCAAATGGGGACACAACAGATATCATATCATTACTGAATGACTTTTTTACCTTTTATTTTTGTTTTATGCATCAAAAGGAATGACCATGCACTGTATATGAGAGCTCCCAATCTTGCTACCTGAAACATTTAAAGTCTTATCAAACTGTACCATCTGGATATCTGCACCAGCTCCTCGTTATTATATTGGTGCTAGTAAGAGGCATTGCCTAAAATCTCAGAATGAGGATTGAGTTCAGTTTTTTTTTTGTTCCTTTCAATCTATCAAAAACATCAGCAAATCAAGTGTCAGATTTATTCTGCAAATTCCTTGATTGACCAAAATCACACTGTAGCTGACTTTGGTCACTGCTGTTGCACTGTGTGCACACAGTAGAAGCTAACGTACTGTAGAAACCTAATGAGCAGGTTCCTTTAAACAAGAATGCAATCAATATTGCCTAAATATGCAATGGCAATAAAGATAATATTAATGACAACTGTATAATGATATCTCAGATTCATGCTGCTAAAATGCAGCATAATACAAACAGGATTTCTGTTATCTGAATATCCTTTACTTGATAATGTCTGATGAACACAAAAGCAATGTTGGCTGAGTCTAATGTCAAATTTTACATTGTTGATTGCACCGGCACACCGTGTGATCACATTATAAGTCGCTGCAGAAGGTGTCACATGTTTGGACAGGTGATCTCAGATGTAAAACATTTCTCAGTCTGCTTTTAGCAGCTACGTATGGCTACATTGTTGCATTTGCTCCATATGTTGCACAGAGAGCAGTTTTTACATCCTGTGTCGCTAATCCTGAAGCTTATATATAAATCTGCTTATCTTTTAAAATGATACCAGTGCACACTTTGTCAGTCTAGGAATAATGAAAGCTCACACTCTGCAGCTCTCAGTGAGCTCAGAGTTTAATAGCGATTCATGAACTGATGAAGTTTTGGACACTTTTTACAAAACAATTTAGATTATTGTCATTATTATTATTTATGGTACCAAAAGATAAATAAACTTGTTTAAACTGTATATTAATGACTCACGTTTACCAGGTGAACATGTGCAATACTTAGATCAGCGATCAAAGCGCATTATGTTAGTCTAAAAGTCTTTTAATGAAGTATGCATGATGTGTGTGCCTTTGTTTTATGCTCTTATATTTTTATGTGGTTCCCTAATAGCGTGAACACTTGAAGACAGGAATCAGTGAATTTGATGATGTGTGCCAGTGTCACTGTATGGTGTCGCTGACATCATACACACTGTGTTAAAATGCTCTTGATGTAAATAGTTAAATATACAGAAAAACTGATTGTTTTATCCCTGATTCATTATTCCTGAAGCGGCTCTTCATCTACAGTAAAAACCACAATGTGTATCATTTGTCACTTAAACCCTTGTGAACAGAACAATTAGGCATTAAAACATAGCAATGCAAGTGTTTTGACTTTTCTTTAAACATACCAACATTTCTAACACAAAAATGGGCTGATGTCGTTTTTATACTGTATACTTTATGTTTAATGCATGAAGTTTTTTTTTTAACTATCTAAATGTGAAAGTATTTCAGTATTTCACCTCAAATCGAGATAAGTATAAAGAGAGGTGTCTGTTGTGCAGTAGGGGTCATCTCTGGGAGCAATTTTATTTTTTCCTGTAAGAAACTAGGAGTCATTTCAGGATCGGGCAACTGTATCTGACATGTAGGAGAGAAAGGAAAGGTCCAGAAAAACAACCAAGCAGAGCTCAAATTCGCCGGGAGACTAAACGCACGAGCAATGAAAAGCATTAGCGAGACGGGACATCGTGGTGTTTCTTTTCATTATTGTGCTGCTGATACTCACATGTACTTCCCTGTTAAACCCACTGATCCCGGCGTGATGAATTCCCTGCAGGACTGACCATGTGATTTCAGAGAGTTGATGGCAAAACATTGTCATCCGGCTAATCCCCAACCTAACCTCTAACCTGATTATAGACGTTTTTAGCATCAGCAGTAAAGAAAAAGTGTAGTTTTAAGCCATTTGCATAAAACATGTGTTAATCTACTTAAACTTATTAATAAAAACTGACTTTTCACCTGAATTTCAATGATTATTAATATTAAATGTAGTGAAATTTGATTAAAACCCATTAATACAAGGCTAACCTTTATGTTATTAAGCCTCACAAATTATATTTATTACCTCAGGGTCTTGCCTGTGTTCTCAATGGTAGCTACACTCCTGATCAGTGTGTTTAAGTGAAAGATTGTAGCAGTTAGACAACTGAACCAAAGAGGATATACAGTAGATGGTCAGGTCTTTATACTCTATTTCCCTAATAAGGCCAGGGAGGGGTTACTACAGGTCAGCTTACACCACTGACACAGATTCCTCACAAAGAGGAACTCCCGCTGCTCTCCCAGAGTACAGCAAACACTGCAGACAGAAGACGCTTAACTATTATCTGTCTTTGTTTCTGCTACACAGAATACGATAATCTCCCTTTTCTATGTGATTATGCCACTGTGAAATATTGAGAAAGTAACTCCCCGTGAGCTTGTCTTCTCACTGCATGCAGCCTAAATGCTTTTCAGTGTTGTATAACTGGAGCATAAAGACAGACTTTAAATTAATTCATCTGGCCACTGCTAAATGAGTTCCACTCCAGTTACCACAGCTTCTTTGTGTTACGGCCTATTCAAAGGTGGCCAGAAACTGAACAGCGTGTGTGTTGAGATGAGAAGAATGGCCACATGTAGTCAGTGTTCAGTAGGCTGGACACAGCACAGAGCTGAAAAAGGGAGGCTTTAGCATCTTAAAATGTAGGAACTAAAACAGTGTTAAATAATATTTATATTAGAGATATAAAAACCCACAGCTGGACAAAGGTTTGCTGGCAAACTCTAACACTAGAGTGACTATTGCATCCAAACTGTCTACATCCTGCGTGGTGTCCTGTCTTATCATCACACCAGTGGCAGCATTTACTCACGGTTGGTCCGCACAGCATCGAATGATGCTTCTACGTAATGACACCACAACTTTAACCGGATTATCTTGAGACGAGTGACATCACCACCCCCACCCTCCCCCTAGCTTCTCGCCATCTCTGACCATCTGGGGGTTACTAAAGGGCATTCACACAGCAATTTCAATGGTGAGACTGGCTGCTGGTGCTGCATGGTCGGCTCCAGCCTGCACCGTCACCCTGCAGCTGTCACCTGTAACAGACTCTGACGGGGACTGTTCCCACGATTGAAGCAGACATAAATGAGCAGAAATGTGGAATTGCATTCAAAGGAAAAATGCCGTAAATAAAAGTGAGTAGTCTGTCCTGTTTCTGATGAACCTTTGAGACATTGAGAAAGTTTAGCCCAGAAGTTTATTTTCCCTTTTGTTGAGGCCTTCACAAAAGATCTTACAAAATATTTATCTCATGTTCAAACAAGTGCAAATCACAGCAAAATGTCAAAACACTTTTTTTACTTAAAAAATAATAATAATAATAAGGAAAACAACATTTCCTGATAGCTGGAATGATTTGCTCTTTCAAGTAGATGTTGCAAATTAGGCTTTCTCATACGTGCGGACAGCCTGGACTCCTTCAAAGGTTAATGTCTGGAGGCAGAAGAAAAAAGAAAATCTGTTTTAGACAGACTGGCAGTTAACATTAGCATCTGATTATTCAGCAAGTATTTCAGTCTGTTGCGGTCATATGTTATGAGTTGCTGCATATATGCAAAGGCAAGGTGAGGCTGGTTTACAAATAAACCAGCCTCCCTGCAGAACAAGATGCTTTCAAAGGCCTCTTAAAAACTGATGTAATCCCAGCAGAACAGGCGGTCTTACCATCACCATCTTCCCATCCTTGATTTCTCTGACAAACTTGGTCTCTTTGCCATCCCACTTCTGCACATGCACAAATTTATCTCCATCCATGGAGAAGGTCGACTACGAGCAGAAAAAAAAAGAACTTTTTTTAATTTTTATTTTTTATTTCGGACCAGCAGAAGGAAATCATCAGTGATCACACCCTCAAGTTTTACTCATCTTACTTTGACATGCCGGTCATCAGGCGTGGTCTCATCAAACTCCTCTCCCAGCTTGGCAGAGAGCTCAGTGTTCCTGAAGGTGCTCTGAGTTTTCACCACCACCTTGTCTCCATCCTGGCTGATCACTACAGTTGGTTTGGTGACATTACCCACTTGTCTCGTGGCAAAGCCAACGCCTGTCAAAAAAAAAGTTTACAAGTTTAAATAAAGTAAAAGTTTAAAATAAAAGTTTAAATATTTAATAAATGTAAAAAATTTTAAAAAAAATCACGGTAACTGTACAACAGGCGTTTTTTTGCTCACCGAGTGCCTTCATGTAGTCATCAAAGTTCTGGCTGTCGACCAGTTTCCATGTAGCGCAGAAAGCCTCAACCATTTTTGCAGATGTTGTTGGTCCACTTCTGTGTCACACTGTCAGAGTGTCTCTTATTTCCGTGGATTAAATCCTGGAGCCGCAGAAGCGGGCCCGCCCCTCTTATGAATACGATAACGGTGAGTGATTACGTAAGCAGTGGCGCGAAATCCTTATTGGATCTTCCCGGACACTTGAAGACTGTGATTGGTCAAAATGGAACGCGCTCTTAATGTCTCGGTGTTAAAGGTGGGACGCTCAAAAAATCTTGGAAGGGCGGCAGGGTTGTCACAGCGGGTAGTTTAGCTAATATAGCGGATTTTTACATAAACTACAAAGAGGTTTGAACCAGGGACTCTCGGATGTTGAAATATATATAAATATAATAATTTCCCATTTCAGCTGCTCCCTTTTGTCATAGCAGATCATCTACCTCCACCCCTATCCTCCTTTATCATACAAACCCTCTTTATAGTCTGCATCCTCTGTCCAGAATATGCACTATTTATGTAAATATGTCGTAAAATGTGAGAACAAGTAGAGAAATGTTAATACATAAAGACGAACTGTAGATATTGCATGGACAGAAATAAAGTACCAGACCGGCATCAGCGGTTTTGTAGTAAACTGTGAATGAGTACTTTGGTTGTTGTTCATATCTGTCTTTTTGTGCCTAGCGGCTGAGGCTGCAGGTATTTAAATACCTCAACTTTTTAGATTTTGGTTTATAACTAAATTTAGTTTAAAAACAATTAGACATAATCTCCCACAGCCTGTGGTGATGATGACCCTGCAATAGCTACTTGTAGTAAAAGTCACAGGATCCTCAAAGCACTAGGGTTTATCCTTTGTTATCCCACTGGATAAATCCATAGGAACTATTCTGCAGGACACAGACCTACAGTGTAAAGCATGGACGTAGCATCCAGATCGGAAAAAAGAAGCTAATGTCAATGTACCTTAAACCTGCCCTTCTATCTGAAGGCCACCAGATGGTGATAGATTTGCTTGTAAAAAGACTTTCGGTCCTATAGAAGTTTTTGGGAAACCAGCTTTCTGACTTAACGTCTGTAAACACTTTCCCGCTAATTTTATCAAGTCTGTCACTCATTTTGGGACATAATGGATAAAAACCAAAGTGTATTTAATAAATATTATTTATACCATGTTTCAAAAATGGAGAATTATCTGGTTAATCCTAATTAATTAGTAGGAAATCCTAATTATACTCAGTGGCCCTTTAATGTTTGCGCCAGATGTAAGATTTACTAAATATTTTTAGAAAAGGAATCCATAAGAATCAGTTTTAAACTAACAGATTACTGATGTAATAGTAGTTAGTAGTAGTAGTAGTAGTAGTTGTCATTAACATGACATGACTGGTAATTATGATTGTATACCTTTATTGTTCATAAAATACTTTCTGCAAATACAGTCCGACATGAGTACAAACAGTTGTCCACTGTTACAATACAGTAGATCGGTCCTTATCAATGACACCAAAGATGTAATCATTAACACTAGTAAACGATACCACATTATACAAAAAGAAGTCCATCTATTGCTGAGTATATTGTAGAACAGTTTTATTATCTGCTTCAAATAATTTCTTTTAAAAAAAAGAACAAAAACATTTCTACTTGAAAAATCTTGGCACTGGTCAAGGCCAGATTAATGAACGAAGCAGCTTAAAAAATCTTTTGTGTGAAAATTAAATCCCCATCATATTTCATTCAACAATGTAATTATTTGTCACTTCTTTCAAATAACTTATCTAAAGAGTCATTTTTTTAAATTCCCTGAAGTTCACAAATATTGCAAGCAACTAAAACAATTAATGTTCCACAAAGACGCTTCATGGGTCTTTACTTCTACACACTCAAGAAGAACAGTTCAGCAGTATGTGTTTCTGCTCTATACAGCTAATCTGAATGTGAAATAAAAAGGTAAAAGGAAGATCATCCTACTTTAATCTTCACCTACAAAAGTCTGGATAATGTTTCAATTATTATTTCTTTTCCCATTTTACTTAATTAGATGCATCATGTCACACTCAGTGTTAAGGGCACAGAGTCAAAACTTTTACCAATGCGTTATTGCCTAAATACTTAATGGTACTTTACAGTAATGGAGGAAATAAAAGGAAATAAAACTATGAAAACCAGAAAAAGAAATGACAGGGCAGAAGAGGTAGAGAGAGAGGGGCAGCGTGAGGTAGGGAGGACAGAGCAGCACTAAGGCTTCTCCACATTAAGGCCTGTCTCTCCTCTCCCTTATCAACCTAAAATCAATACAGCGGCTGATCCAAAGAAACATTTTTGATCGTGCTGCACAGTGACAGGTTAGTTATAAAAAGTAGTCACTTTCTATACAACAGGTTCCCTATTAAAGAACATTAGGACATATTGAAGGCAATTGTCTACTGCACTGGCTGGTCACTCAGAACAATTTATTGAAGAATACCAGAATATTGATCACTGGCATGTGGCTTGGGTATAAATTTTGACCTGTACTGGCTCATAATTAACAGGAGTTCCAGTAAGCACATGTGTCAGTTCATAACTGCCAGTCCTGAGTGGACAAAACACTCAACAATTTGCCTTTGAGAAACTAAGAGTGTCAGAATATAAAATATGATCCGCACACCAAAAGACAAAAAAAACAAAAAAAACCAAAAAACCAGAAAGCAGACTGATTTATCATATTTTGAAAGTCTGTAGAGGGAGGAATCGAGACAAATATGGATAATCCATTCAACGCAGAAATGTTGCATAGGAACGATGCAAATCAAAGTCAGTTATAGCAAAACAGCAAATCAAAGTGCCAAAAATAAATTCCTTCTCTTTGTCCGTCAGAAAGTTGAGAAGTAGGAAGCGGTTTAGGGTTTGATTTAAGAGATTTGTGGAGAAAGTCAGTATGCAAACAGTACTCGAAAAACAAATGGCACAAGACTGATGTCAGATGTCCGAATTGCAATGTGGCATCTCACAGTGTGTGCATGTAGTATCACAGTTCATTGTGATCTATACAAATGGAAGAAGGATGCTATCTGAATTCCCCAACACTGATTGAGAGTGCCACCTCTGGTTTCCTGGATTTGGTCTGTCCAGCTTTCTTAAGTGATTCACCAGCGCCTGCAGCCTGCCCTCTGAAAGTAAGCAAGAGTCACAAATAACATAAAACATAACAAACACCAATGGACACAGTCTTTATGGATTGCATCATTGCTGTAAAATGACTGAGTGAAAACACTAATATTAATTTCTCATTAAATAAGAAGCATTTTCCCTGCTGTTACATGTATCCAAGGGCTCTCACCCTTTCCTGCGTTCCTCGGCCTCCTCCCTGAGCCTCTGTTGGCCCTGCTCGTCTTCCAGAGTGATAAAGTTCCTGTTGTTGTCAATCAAAAGATTCTGAAAAAAGTATGGAAAACAGACTGAGTGTCTCTGAAACCAAAGCAGAACAGAGTTTATTAAACAGGCATTTACCTTGACGCCAATTGTGTCACCATCTTTGAGGTGGAACGGTGTTCCCAGGAGTGATTCTGTTTTTTTCTTCTTCTTCTTTTTGGAGACCTGTTGGGTCTAAGAGTTAAAGACAAACTGCTTAGTGAAGGCCAAATCTAATTTCATGCACAAAATAGTGCATGCAAGAGAGTGCAAGTATATACAGTATCACCCCCAACTAGGTTCCTACTCAAGAACCTTCCCTCATCTAATCGTACCCAGTTGGAGATTTCCTCCCAGATGTGTTTGTCTGGCTGGTGTTTGGCCAACAGCAGAGAGTCTGGAGAGAGGCCATAGCGTGCAGCCAGACAAGTGCGTAAAGACCAAGGCGAGGAATCGTGGGTCGCATTCCAAACCAGTTCCTCTGAAGGGTAGTAAGACCTCTCTCCTGGTATTCCCATTTTAACATAGAGCAGCACGTCTTTTGGCCTTGTGAATAGGAAACAGTTAAAGAAGGAAAATTATTTTAAAAAGTTACTAAAAAACAAAAATGTGCGCAATAGACACACTTCATAATGAAGTATTTAGATATTACATTGGGTTAGGTTTTGTAAGAAAAGAGCTGTAACACAATACTTACCCAAGATCTTCCTCTTTCAGTAGTGTCTGCACACAAAGGTCTGCACCACTGGTCAGCTTCATCTTCCTGAAGAAGGAGAAACCAAAAGGATAATAAGAAGGAATCACTCAGTGACCTTCATCTGTCAATAACAAAAAACAATCCTCTGACCATTAATGTACGAATGAGAGCACAGCATTCAGACCTGAGTGTGGCTTGCGGTCCTCTGAGGATTCGGGCTAGCTTCTGTCCCTCTAGCTGCCAAACACGCATGAATCCAGTGGTGGGCACACACACTTCCTGAAGGGCAGGCAGCGTCAAAACCTAAAAGCAAAGTGAGCATGTATTTCATCTGAAAATAGCTAACTATAAGAGACAGTCAGCACATACACAACCAAAACAGTTCACCTGAGTTTTGAGGTCCTCCAGAGTGGCCTCATCTGATATCTCTATCTGCCCCACACGTCTGAGCTCTGCAGCGTTTCCATTACATAAAGGAGGTAACTGATTGTGTGTTGTTCCTGCAGGCATCTGCCCGTCAGCAGGCCCGTTCTCTGTGTGATTAAAATCTCTTTCCATGTTTTTTGGATGCCAGTACAGCCATATAGATATCTTTAGGAAACCCTGATGGAAAAAACAAGACATAAAAATGCTAAAGCACTACATAAAGCTATAACACATCATTAATCCACAATTACATTCAAAACACTGAAGTACCTTCGAAGGCAAATTTCCTTCTGTGACAACTAATGTCTCTCCATTGCTGATTTTCAGCTCTGACAGAGAAGCATCCTGAGAATCAAAGGCCATAAAGATTTATTAGTCATGTGCACTGGAACATATGTGGGTAACTGATACTGAGTAGATGATATCAGAGTAATAATGAAACTATTTTACTGTCACTTAAACTAATTGCAACATTTAAACAGTGAACTAATTAAGAAATTGTCTTCTTCTTGGTGCTCTACCTATCTCTAGCATCTTTCTCTGTCACACCAACCCCCTGCATTTGGATGGTTGACCTCAAGTATTTAAAATATGTGCATATTCACTGTTAAACATG